AAAAGAGAAATTCTACTAAGAAACTATCTATAGCTAAAATAACTCAAATATACCATGTGACTTTTCTTGGCAAGATTAGGTGATTGTGGTGTAGTAGATCACATGTGGCGTAGTAACGATCTGTAAAATAAAAGATAAATATAATCTAATTATTAATAGCTAATATAATTTTGTTACAATTACTTAATATAGAAAAATTTATATTTTAATATAAAAACTAAAAATTATTTCTAATAAAAATTATTTAAACTTTAACTTATCTTTATAATTTTTTTATATTAAATAAAAAATAATCTAAATTAGCTTTTTATATTATTTTAATTATTCTATTATATTTTAATTTAATAATAAATAAAATATTATTTTATTAAAAAAAATCTAAAATGAAATTTTTTTAAAAAAAAAGATATTTTAAATATTATTGCTATCAATTTATAATATTAGAACTTTAAATTATATAAGTAGATTATTTTAGATTTGATAAATATAATTTTAAATTTTATAAAAATTAAATTAGTAGTTATAAAGATATTAAAATTCAAAGTTGAGTAATTAAATTATTTATTATATAATTTTTATATTAATTTTAATCAAATTTTATATAGTAAAATTTAAGGAATAATAATTAAAAAAAGTTATTATTAGTAAAAAATTTTTTTATAAAAGATATATAATAAAAATTTTTACACTTAAATAAATTCCAATATCTAATAACTTAATTAAATAAGACAGACAGAATTAAAACTTTATTTTGAAAAAATAATTTATTAATATTTTATCTGAAGTATAAATCTTTTTATACCAATTCATATAATTAAATTATTTAAATTTTTTTTCAAATATTCAAAATTAATTTAAAATATAAATAAATTTTTTAGATTTTTGAAAGAATTTTTTTAAATATAAAGTTATTACAAAAGTTTTTTTAATTAGAAATTTTTATTATAAAAAATATATTTAATACTTATTATTTTATGAATAAAGTTATTTTATATTTATAATATTATATATAAAACTAAAACTTATATTATATTAATTTATATATAAAATACTTGTTAATTTTTGTTACTAAATTTAAAAATAATTTTTTGATATTTGATTTTGATTTAATTATATTTGCTTTTTTGATTTATTATACTATTTTTCTAATAATTTAATATTGAAAATATTAGAATTTGATTATATTAGAATATATTAATATAGAAATATCAATATTATTTATTTTTGAATTTAAATCCTTTGCATCTTATTCTTAATTTTCAATCTTTTATTTGTCTCTTCTATCCTTTCCTTTATAATTCTTTTTATTATACTTTTTCAGAAGAATATATAAGACTTGAATAATCTAATCTTTTTAATAAATATTTAATGATTATTGTATTTTATATTTCTATATTATCTGAAAAACTTAGAAAATGTATTTGTAATAACATGCCATTAATATAAAATAATACTGATATAAAAATTAAAAATTAAATATCAAATATTAAATGATTGTTTATATAAATGCATTAATGAAAATCTAAAATAGTTAAGTATTTGAATTTATATCAATACTATATATAAAATACAATTATTAGATTGCAACGTCCGATGCCGTATTATTGTTCGCATGGCTCATTGACACCGCTATTATCCTTCAAATATTTTCCATTAGAGGACTTATTGCTGAAGAAGCTAAATTATAAATCGGTAAACTACAAGGAACAATACTTTAAATCGTGTCAACCGCCTTAAAGAGTTTTATTATCGGTAGAAACTTTTTGAGATAAAAACAGCCAAACTCTTTTGAAAATACTAATATAAGGAATTTATGAAGAATGCTTGCTTTTCATTTTAGAAAAAATTATTGGTGAACGAAAGGAGATCTTAAAGCTAATCATATTGTTTTCTGTAGTTGGTTGTTGAATAATCTTATTGTTTGAATCGCTTGTAATATGATTTGGGATAACTTCATGACTGTTATCGGACTCTTTTGGCTTTTGTTTACATATGTATAATTTGTATATGACATACCCTAAAATAAAAACCCCTAAAATTCCTCCTACGACACCACCTACTATAACGCCAATATTTGCTCCTTTTTTTGGGGAATATATTTTCCATGTATATTCATCTCCGACTATCTTAAGGATCGAAATAAAATTTGTATTCGATGTTAATTTATCACTTTTGCCATCTTTCCCTGAACAAAAGAAAATGCGATTAGACTCTTTTTATTATAATCTATTCAAATTTTTTTTATAAAAGATTACCGAATGCTACGACCATATAAGTATCGTCGATAATTGTTGCCGTATGGTAGTAAGGAATAGCGGTAAGTACATTAGCTTGTGGTGCAATCGTCAGAATGTAATTGTCACCATTTATCTCCAGAATTACTAAAGCATTGCTAGGATCAAGAGGTTCATCTGATTTTCCGCCGTAAATGATGATTTTATTTTGCACTTTATATTATTTAAGACAATATTAATATATTAGTAATATTATTAGATAATTTAGTTTTGAATTTAAATTACCTAAGCATGCTGAATGTCCATATCGACCGACTATGTTATTTGTATCAGTAGCCAACTTTGAAATTTATAAAGAATTAGAAATAATTTTATTAATTTTTGAAAACCAAAATATATTTACTTTTGGTGTCAAGCTCTTATCCGAAATATTGTATGTCCAGATCTAAAAGTAAATATTTTGGTGAATAATTTAAACAAAATAAGAACGGCAACTTTCTTTTTGAAGATATGAAACCTGATTCATTGTTATTATTGTTCCATTTATAAATTTACCGCCTATGTATATTATGGAATTGGAGTCTTGTATGTATGTAGCAGTAAAATCAGAAGCTGGTAATTCAGATTGGTCATCGTCAATGGAGCTCCAATCGTCCGTACTTAAATTATAAATGAGCATTACATGAGTTTGAGGGAACTGTTGCTGAGTGGATGAATCCATACGTTTCTGAAGGTGTGATGTTTGTTGTGAAGGAGGAATTGTCGTTTGGGAAGGAGGAATTGTTATTTGAGTAAATCTACCAAAAATGAAAATATTCCCAAATGAATCGGCTATAGCATTCATAATTCTTGCTTGTGGATTATTGAATGTTGATGGACCTTTCCAAAATGATGATTTACTCGTTATATTAAAAAGAGAGCCTTCATACAACTTTGAAATAAAAAAATTTATGAAAATTTATTTTTTGCATTACTAAAAATACGAAGACTAAGCGTTACCATTTTGTTATCAGGGCTTCCAAATACGCGAATTGTAGAATCATTATCATTTATCACTGAAGTTACAAAAGCTACCTTGGGAGAATTATTGATGTTTTGCTGCGCAAAATTTAAAGAATTCATATCTGATATTTCAAGTGTAAAAAAATCAGTTGAAATACTAGTGTCATCATCTAATACTCCTCCTAAAAAATAAATTTTGTTGCCGATATTATTTGCAATATGCCCGTAACGACTGGATGGAATAAATTCTGCATTTGCCAGCAAGAATAATAATAAAATAACCATCATGACATGAATTTTATAATTTAATAAATTCATTTTTTTTGACAATTATATAAAAAATAAACGGTGAAATTTCATATTTTAATTATGTTCTTTTCTGAGTGTTCATGTTTTACATGTGTAAACATGTACTACATAATACCGATAATTATATCGGTATTGGTTCCGTGAGCGTTTCTAGTATTTAAAATACATATGCATAATTTATAAACAATCTATTTATCATTGGTTCAAAATACATATACATTACAGTAGCTCACATGGAGAGACTAACACTAATACATGAACTAACTAATACATGAACTAACTAAATTTTAAGGCTAAAAATATTATTAGCAAAGGTCTAAAGCACTGGTAGGTTTCATCTGTGATCTAAAGGATATGGAAATGCAAAATTTTTTGAAAAATTAACCGTTTGCATACCCACATGCATCGCAGTGTTATATATTTTCGATGTCCGGGCGGACGTGGACATTTTGGGACATTGTCCAACGTCCCGCATCCGCCATGTGTCCAAGACATATGATTGTCCAACGTTCGTGTCCGTGATGTTCCGGTTAATAAAAATTTTCCACATCATTCGCCTATTCAATAATGCCGCCATTACCCATATCATTAGACCAATATATTATTAAGCCCAAGGAAAAACTCATCAAGTAATATATTGAATACTTAGGTTATTTTATTTCAGATCAAGAAATATCAATTGATCAATGTAAAATTATCGCTATTTATGACTGGTCCAAGCTAACAAATATCTCTGAGCTTTGAATATTCTTAGATCTTGCTAGTTACTATAGGAAATTTGTAAAAGAATTTTTTGCAATTGCTTCACCACTTACAGCCTTACTTCACAAAGATCAAGAATATATTTGGAATGAGTCTGAATAAAAAGTATTTGATAATTTAAAACAGTATTTAATCACTATACCTATCTTAATTTTGCCAAATTCTAAATTATCTTTCACAATTATAACTGATATATCTGAATTTGCTATTGGAGCCATTCTTAGTCAAAACTATGGAAAAGATGATCAATCTGTCACTTATGAATTACGTAAACTATTCTTAGCTGAACAAAACTAACCAATACATGAAAAGAAACTTCTTACTATTATACATGCTATTCATTTCTGGAAATCTTATTTGGAAGAACAATGATTTACTATTATTACTGATCATGCATCTCTTGAGTATATTAAAATATAACATAATCTTTCTAAACATCAAGCACACTAGTTAGAAATCTTACAAGCTAATAATTTTATTGTTAAATATAAATCAGGAAAGAAAAATATAGTAGCTGATATTTTATCTTATTCATCACAAGTAAATAATATTACTACAATTTTTGAATAACTTATCAATGATGAAAAGTTACAACAAGAATATGAGAATGACAAATATTTCAAGAAAATTTGAATAGCCTTACATAATCCTGAAGCATCTATACCAAAACAACAATCTCAATGACACATTATTCTGAGAGATAATAAGCTTTATTTGAAAAATACAAATCATCTTGCTATTCCCAAGAATAAAACTCTGAGAACTCAAATTTTAAAGGAATATCATGACATTCCTATTTCTGGTCATTTAGGAATTGACAAAACTTATGAGCATCTATAAAGATCATATTACTGATCAAAAATGTTTAAGAATATTCATAAATATATCCTTAGTTGTGAAGAATACCAATGAAATAAATCTAGTAATCAGCTACCTTTAGGACTTCTATAACCCTTGAAAATACCTGAACAATATTGAAAACAAATTACTTTAAATTTTATCATGCAATTATCTATAACTCACCAAGAACATAATGCAATCTTAGTTATTATCAATCATCTTACTAAATAAGCTCATTTCATTTCTATTTACACTACTGTTACTGTATCTGAAGTTGCTAAACTATTTTTTAATAATATATTTAAATTACATGGACTATCTTGAGTTATAATTTCAGATCATGATATCAAATTTACTAGTTGTTTTTGAAAATCACTATTTGAACAAATTGGAACTAAATTGGCTATGTCAACTGCATTTCACCCACAAATTGATGATCAAACTGAGAGAATGAATCACACTCTAGAAGAAATGTTAAAAATCTATTCTATCTATAATTAAAATTGCTGGGATGAATATCTTGCAGTCACTGAATTTATATATAATAATTCAATTCAAGCTTCTTCTGATCATATATCTTTTGAGTTAGACTGTGATCAATATCTGATTATACCTATAATACTTATTACAGATAATAAAGTTACCACCACTGATGAATTCATTCAACATTGGAATAATATAATTAAAAATGCTAAAGACTTATTAATGGAAATACAGAATCACTAATCAAAATATACTAATTAACATCATTATTTTCAAGAATTTAAAATTAAAGATCAAGTCTTACTTTCAACTTGCAATATCATTGATCTCATGAATAAACAACATTCTAGTAAAAAGCTTACACTTAAATATATTGATCTCTTCTCTATTCTTGAAGTTATTTTACCTATTGCATATAAACTGGATTTATCTTTGCATATGAAAATTCATCTTGTCTTTCATATCTCATTATTAAAGTTATACAATCCTAATGATAATGAAGATTTCATTCATCCAACTTCATCACAACTAATCATCATATCTGAAACTAATAAAGAAAAATATGAAGTAGAAGCAATCTTAGATAAAAGAATCATTTGAAATAAATCTCAATACTTAGTTAAATAGCTAGATTATTCTCTTTATGATTCTACCTGAGAATCTTTGAAAAATCTTTACAATTCTATGAAACTTGTAAAATCTTTTGAATCAAAATGTTAATGAGAATATTGATTCTTAAGAGGAGAAGTGTTGTAATAAAATTAGATTAGTTATTAATAATTATATTATATTTATCTTT